TGGGGTTCCGAAGACGCCGATCGTCGTAGGTCCTTGGTGGATAGAACCATTGACTGATCAATCGCTTGTCAGCGTTCGTCAGGCGTTGAACTTGACGCCGGACGCATGAGAAGTTGAGGCTATAACGGGGGGGCCGGGGTGGCATTCCCCGCTCATAATACTCCAAGTCATCACCGGAAGAACATCCATCATCAAGACGACTTTCGGAAGACATGACAACGAACGGTACCTTGGAGTCGAGGTTTCCGATACGATCAAAAGAGAAGTCTAGAGAGAGAAGGCAATTGTGCAGCGTAAGGAGAAGTGTGAGTGGATCACCTGGGTACCGAGTATTTATAGACAAAACCGCGGGATTGCCCCAACCGAAGCAGGACACGTGGCGCCTGGATACCGGTACCCACCACGGTATTTAAAGCATCTCGATTTTGTCGCCACATAACCAACACAAGGCATCCGGGCCCGTGCCACGAACGTCCCTTGAGGGGGGGTCACCGACTCGGAGGAATTTGAAGACATTCAACCTCCCTTGCTTCCTTAACTCCCCGGCTGACCCTAGCATCGGCGGCTGGCGAGGGCACACGAATCAACTGGCGACGTCCCTCTTGCAGCACACCAGTTTTTTATGTCACGCAAATATGGACGAACGTCGTCACCAAGCGCTGTTTCAGGGAAATACGCCCATATGTCCATACTCGAAACATGTACTGACAAGGCAACTACCGACGAACATCTTCCCACTGTCAAGATACCGCGTGGGCGATAAAAAGATGTGTCGAGACGCCGGAAGGATTCCTTATACTACAAACAATGGACACAAAAGGGACGAAGGAAAAGTCACATCCATTGGTGGTGGGCGGAGGATGAACGTCGCCTTTCCACACTCCGTGCCAGATGAGCACGCAGAACCGACGAACGTCCCCCGCATGGGTTGAGTATTCATATCACACGACGACGGGCGGACATCGTTATCAAGAGCTGGCGCTGAGAAATACGTTCCTATGTCTACACTTCGAGCATGCACCATAAACCGCCGACGAGCGTCGCTCCACTGACAGAACACTTTGAGTACTTGCCTGGAAGCAAGTAGAGGACAGATACGAACGTCCTCTCGAACTCTGACCTTGCTACAAGGCGTATCGGGCCGCCGAAGGGGTTTCCATACAATGAAGGACAAAAGGAAGGAAAATAACAAGTGGAAATCATGAACACGGAGCAATTATGGGCAAAAAGATGTATATTCTTCGGCTCTAATGGCCGGACATTACAATAGCTGGAATGGAAAAATGTAAATGACATTATACAAAGAAAGGGGACCCCGGGCGGCTGCTGCCCTTGTTCGGCTCCTCCTCCTCTTCCTCAGGCTCGGGGGTCGGCGGCTCTGGAATCTCCCCCCTGGCCTTGGCCTCCTCCCGGCGCTGATCCCTCCTCAGTTTCCCTAGCGCCTGGATTAGGAGATCGTCATCCGTGTTGGCCGCCAAATCAAAATCGGGCCCCAGCAGCTTGGCGAATGTGGGTAGGGTGGCCTTTACCCCTTCATTGTAGCCGGCGGCGAAGGTGCTGTCGCCGACCTCGTATAGGAACTTGCGAGACAAGGGAGAACCCTCAAGGATCCGGACGCCGCGAGCCAGGCGCTGGCGGGGCGGAATCTTCTCCAGAGCCGCGGCGAACAGGTCGGCGAAGACCCCGGCGCAGTAGTCCTTGGCGGAGTCCATAAACTCCCCGGTGTTCCGATAGCCGGAGGTATCGATCAGCCACTCCGGACTGGCATCCTTTGCAGTAGGGTGCACCGGGACAAGCTTGAAGCCAGCTTTCTCAAGGCTGGCCAGCTGCTGGCGGGATTCTGCCCGCAGGGCGGCTATCTCCTTCTCCTTGGCGGCCGCCTCCGCCTCCGCTCGACGAGCGGCCTCCCGGGCCGCAACGATGGCCGCGTCAGCTTTGGCCTTGGCCTCCTTCAGGTCGGCCTCCCGGGCAGCTTCAGCCTGAAGGACTAGAAGCCCAGACTGGATGACAGAAGGAAAAATAAGGATCAGAGGATGAACGTCAAGGAAAATAAGAGATATACTCAGATCTAGCACGGAATTACCTGAAGAGCGGCTGCCAGGGCAGCGCTTGTCGCCTCAGAGGACGAACGGCTGGGCAGCTCTAGACCAGCCTTGAGGGCCATCTCCCTCCAGAGCTCTTCTGCCGGGCGGCTCAATGGCAAGGAGCCGGCGTCTTCGAGCAGGGGCCCGGTGGAGCCTGCTTCGCGGCCCCTCTTCTGTCTCTTCTCCGGGGCTTTCTCCGTCCCCTTCTGAGGAGCCGTCTTCGTGGGGACGACCGGCAGGGGAAGGGCGGCTTCGAGAGCAGGGGCCCCGGAACCCTGAGCCAGCACAGTGGCAATCAGATGCTGCTCACCCTCGGCAGTTCGCCGGGCAGCGTCAGAAGCCGAGGAGTTGGACGCCGAGGCGGGGGCATTCTTGGCCTTCTCCATCGCAGCTTTAGCAGCGGCCGCCTTGGCCTTCCTGGTCTTCAGGCACTCGGCATGATTCATTTGATCTCTGTCTGGCGGAGGACCTGCAAAAAATAACAAAGGATTAGAAGACGAGCGGGGAATAGAATAAGACACTCACCTCGAAGGACAGGACCGCCCGGCGCCCCGAGACGAGCGTCGAAGGGTAGAAAAAGTCCAGGGACACGGGCGGTACCTATGCCTGCCCCAGAGAGTGCCTCGAAGGTCAGAAATCCGGCTATAGGACGGACGCCACCCTCCAACACCTTCTCCGCATCCAGAAGCAGATCGTCGGACGGCTCCGGTGACTCAATCTTTGGGGGGTACCCATTCCACCGGAGAGGGAGAGGAGGCCCGTCGTATCGAAGGAAGAAAAAACGGTTCTTCCAGTCGTGGATGGACGAAGGGTAGTTCTTGAACAGGCGCCTCCCAGGACGTGCGGCCACGCTCAGATACCCGTCGGCGTTCTGAGGAGTGACGCGGTAGAAATAATGGAAGAGCTCCAGAGTGGTATCGACCCCCGCAAGTTTGCAGCGCACCAGGAAGGCCGATATGAATCTGTAAGAATTTGGCATGAATTGCGCCGGGGCCACCTGGAAGCAGTGGAAGAACTCCACATAGAACGCATGAAGTGGAAACCGCAGCCCGGCTTCAACGGAATCCAGGTGAAGCATGATCATCCCCGGACGTCTCCTCATCACGTGCTCAGCGCCTCTCACACTCCAGACGAACAGCGGGGGAAGGAAGGTACGGATTTTATTGAGGGCCACGCGGGAGAGGACTTGGTCATGGTCAAGTGCACTCCTGATCGGGCAGATGTGGCGCTCCCTATCCGTGGGGATGCCCAGATCATACACCTCCACATCAGAACCAGATTCGGCTTCCTCTCCGGAATCATAATCAGCAGGACGCTCATTCAGGGGGACTGCGTCAATAACATCTACTGCCCCGTCAGCGCCCCCGCCCCCGGCGTCGCTCCCGCTATCTTGGGGCACGTCATCCGGCTCGCCATCAGCCCGGATGGTCCCCACAGTCGTGGCCGAACCCGAGGTTCCGGAAACACTAGTTTTTCCCAGGGAGCGTGCATTCGCATTGTCAGAAGAGGAGCCCGAGGAGGAACCCGACGAACTGGAATCAGAACTTGAGGAAATACCCATCGAAGTCATTTCGGCTAGAAATCAGGGTAAAGAAAAGAAGCAGAGGGGGGAAATTACCTTACAAAGGTACGGTTGGCCGAATTCGGGAAACTTGAAGAGCTGCGGAAAATTGAGAGCAAGAAAGCAGAAATTGGGAACCCTAATTCAGAGGGCAAACCCAGCATTTATAAGGGAAACGCCGATGGAGAAGCCAACGAGGGGCTGACACGTGGCAAGGAGCGTATTCCGGCCCACGCGCTGTGCGTGGGATGGGAACGTAATGATGACACTTCCTCGGGAGAATGCGCCGCCGCAACATCAGCCGTCACCTCGTTTCCTGAACCGTCAACAGCTGTCAAGCACCATGGCCACGAGCGTACGATTCCGCCAAGATGCAATGAACACAAGTGCCAAAATACGGACGTCTACTTCGGGGAGGTTCATACTTCCTTATGTCCTGCGCATGCTCAGAACATCAGAAGTGGGGGACTTGTGTTGGGTTAAGGGCCCAAGCCGAGGTCCGGCCCACTAACCCATTTTGCCAGACGACCGTCCAGCTAGAAACTAGGCCAGCCCACAGGCCCATGTACTTTAAGCATGGACGAACGTCTGGTGTTGGAGGACTCAGGCCCAGCGGCTCATCCCGACGAACGTCTAAGCAGGGACAAGGAGCGGAGCCACGGGCCATCAGGGGTGACGACGAACGTCTCCTGAGCAAGCCCATAGTCATCGGAGGAGACCCAGCCCACATGGTGAGAATCCATCAAGGCCAGGAGACGAACAGCCAATATCCCTCAAGGGTCACTTGGAGGAATCCAACTCACTTCCCGGGTGGACGAACGTCCCCACTATTCCGGCGGGAAACCTAGATTCTGGCGGGAAGTGCATTTAATGCTAAAGATTTGGTAGTTGGGACACCAGCGGTCCACAGGCTGCCACGTCAGTACAGCCACCTGCCCATTGGCGGGTATAAATAGAAGCATTTATTTCATTGTAAGGGGTTGGCAACTTTCTATTCTTAGCATACTAGCTTCAGCATTCTTACTTGCAGCATTTCTAAGTGCCTTGTAAGACGAACGGCCGACGTGCCTTGTTTAGCGAGTAGATTGTACTTAGGGGAGTTATTACGGAGTTAATAATACCTATTTACATTGCCTGCTATCACTGTTGTCTCCTGATTCATCTAATAGTTGTTGGGCTAGACATTCATACACTCACTCCACTCGAAACCTTTGGGCTTACGTGTTGGGTCCACGGGTTGAAGGAATAAACCTCAACAATAGTAGAACTGGAAGCACACAAGGCAGGGAGAGTAGAATGTCCTAAATGCGTAATACGGAGGGACTGGCCATTGCCAACCATGAGACCATCATTACCGTTATAAGGATGTGATAAAGAGAGCTTGCTAATGTCACCAGTGACATGATGTGTGGCACCCGAGTCGATGACCCAAGGATCATAGAGAGTTGATGGGCTAGGAGATGAAGGTGTGGCTGAGAATGCAGCCGCAGGCGATGGTTGAGCAGAGTGTTGTTGTTGGCGTTGATGGCTTCCCCGTTGCTGGGTTCGTCGAGGAGGTGGACCGGTTGCAGGATAGGTGTTGACGTTCATCCGATGATAGCAATTGATTGCCTCATGGCCAAGACGTTTGCAGATTTGACACTTGGGGCGAGAGCGGTCAGAGGACTGTGAGGATGAAGCTTCTGTAGAGTGCTGATTTCTGGAGAAACGAGAGGCAGAATGAGCCTCTGGTGTGACATTGTCAGTCTCACGAGCCTCCTCCTCAAGACGCTGTTCTTCCTGAAGAAGAAGATTCAGAAGCGAATCGGAGGTTAGGTCCGTACGGTGAAGTGACAGAGCAGAGCGGAAGGAGCCATAGGCAGAGCCGAGACCATAGATGATGTAGTCAACAAAATCAGAATCGGGGACGTCAACAAGGCATTCGAGGAGGTTGTTTGCAATTGAACGTTTCTTCTCAAAATACTCAAGAATTGAGAGAGAACCTTTGGTGAGAGATTGCAGTTGTTGACGGAGGTGCATCTGACGAGATCGAGTCTGGGCGTGAAACATTCGTTCAAGCATTGTCCAGGCTTCGTGAGAAGAGGTGGCACGCGCGACCAGCCCTAGAAGGGGAGTGGTGAGCGTGGACCGTATCCAGAGAAGAATTAGACGGTCCTTCCGAATCCAGACGGCATAGGCAGGGTTGGCTGTGGTGATGGCCTGAGTTGTCGCTGTGGCTGGTTGATCAATGATGGTGGCGGATGGGATTTTGGTGGAATCAAGGCAGGAATCAAGGTCATAGGCTTCAAGAGCGGAACGCACAGTGCCTCTCCAGAGAGAATAGTTCGTCCGATCGAGACGAAGGTGGATCGCTGGAAGTTGAAGCAGAGAAGTTGAGGACCCGGTGTTTGCTGCCATAGCCAAAATTTGGGATGAAGAAGAGTTGTCAGATGAAGTGTCAGAAGATGGAGACATAGGATCGATATACTAGGCTGATACCATGTAAAGTTAGCACCAGACAATTAGAATGGGAAATGATTCACCTTTTTTCTTTCTCATTGAATCAAATATATAGTCATACAATATGAATATACAAGGTAAGCATATCAAGACCTAAAATAGACTGATTTACAAAATCAGTTCTAACTATAGATAAATACAAAATAGAATAAAAAAAAGATTTATACAATATTCTATCTTTAACATAACTTATTATCTTTGTAAAAACAGGTTCTTAATTGGAAGCCATATGATAGGAAATGTGATGTATATAGCTTTGGAATCTGTTTGTGGGAAATATATTGTTGTGAGATGCCGTGTCCAGACCTCGACTTATCTTGTGTTGAATCAGCTATCGGTCATCAGGTACACTGCATGTTGATTCTATAGTCTTCTTTAACATGTCACGTGTACACGAATATAAGAGTTTTACCTAAAATATCACTTACAAGAACTACATAGATACAAACGAGACTATATGATTATTACAAGCACCTTAAATATTGCTCTACAGAGATTGTGATGAGTTGTATTTTTATTTAAAAAAAACATGACAATCACTGCATAGTATAAGAAAGTATCGCTCGTTCATTTGAAATATACAGTATATGGATATTCTACCATACTATGCTACAAAAAAACATATTATCGCCAATTTTTTTGTAGTCCTTTTAGTTCTTTCATATATTGATGTGTGTGTGCGTGTATAAAGTGACTAATTAAGAAAAATATTGGAAACATAATTCCATGAAACTTCAAATTCGATGTGACTCATATATGTTCTAATCTGGACACAATATACATATTTCTACCTCCGTCCCCCTAAGTTTGGGACAAATGGGTGTGGTGTGGTTTTTAAGAAAAAGTAGAATTGTGTAGTTGGTATTGAATTGATAGGTGTGAATAAGGTAATAATGAATTCTAACCACTCAAATATTACCAAATATGGTATGAGACAAACTTAGTGGAACGGACGAAAAAGGTAAAACGGGACAAACTTAGGGGGACGGAGGGAGTATTTATTTTAGGCTTAAATAAATTTTTAATCCTGCAAATATGGCACATTTTATTTCGAATCCCTCTAAAATAATTTTTTGTTTTCCGTCATTGTACTACCTTCGTCCCACTAAGATTGGGACGGAAGAAGGTGACACGATTATTTAAAAAGTGGGTTTGTGTGATTGATATTAAATTGATAAAGTAAGAATAAAGTAAGAATGGTTTATAGCCATACAATCTTTACCAAATTTGGTATGGGACAATCTTAGTGAGACTTCATGAAAAGGTAAAATGGGACAATCTTAGTGGGACGGAGGGAGTAATATGCAATATTTTCTTTATAGTCCCTGCTAACGTCGAAACCATCTCTGTTTAGAAAAATGATGTTTGTTGCGTAAATCTACAAGAGACCTTTTTAAATACATTGTTTATCACTTTTGGAGGCTAATATTGAAGTTAAAACAATGTAAAACTACACATTCATGATTTCAAAAGGAGAATTAATGACTCTCTAGAAACTAACGTAGCATTACTATGGCATGATTAAGAATGAGAGAAAATCTTTTACTCAAGGTTGTTTCGTTTTCAAATGGAAGTGGTTAGGATTTGTTAGGGACCAAAAAGAAAAGCAACATAAATTACATTGATGAATAATGCAAGAACATAAAACACAAAAAACAATATTTCAAAGGGCTGAAAGCATATTTAAACCTTTTATTTATCTATATTCAGTACTCATAAAGCCTCTCTTTAAGTGGATGGCTTTTGGGTTTCAAATATTATTACTAAACCACACTGTTGTCTTTGATGAGGTTTCATTTGGCTATTAAATTAATGTTATACTCCCTCCGCCCCACTATTATGATTCCGTTACGGTTAATATTACGATACTTGACCGGCGATAAAGGAAATGGATCCCTGTGCGCACTGAAATTATTTTTAGAAAAAAATTACATATTCAGAAACTACATTAAAAGCTATACAAAATCGCAAAAAAAATAGAATCAAATTTGATAAAACTTTGATATATAGAGTAAGAGATTAAGAGTGATTTGTGTTGACCAAGTGAATAGGATCTGAAACAACCTTAGCGGGACGGAGGGAGTAGTTCATTAAACGTATACCAATAATTATTCGAATGTTATACTACCTTCGCCCCAAAAAGGTTCGCCATATTGACTTTTCTTGGTCAATGATGGCGAACTTTGGACAATGATTTTAATTATTATATTTGTATACTGTTATGAAAATATTTCGAATACCAGAAAAGTCAATTTGGCGAACCTTTTCGGGACGGAGGGAGTACTAGTTTAAGAAGTTATAAATAAAAATACTCCTCCAATAGTCATTGAAATGAAAAATGATTGTAGATCTACAAGTATAATCATGATAGCCAAAGATATATGGAGGTTGACCCCTCTAAATACAAAAGGGGGAGGACATTTTGATTGTCATGAATTTAGATGGAAGGTGGGTATAAGTGTTGAGTATGATATACATTATGATATAGTAAAAAAGAATTATCCGAAACACATAATCATAGAAATTTCAATATCGGGATTTTTGAGTGGGATCTCTACATCATTACGAATTTTGGTGTTGGAGTCCAAACTCAATCGAGACAGCATTCGAGAATAATTTTAGTTTGGAATCCAAATGAAGATAAAAAAATTGTTGTCTAGTTTGTTTATATACACGAATAGATGTTTTTTTATTTACCCTCAAATATAATTTTCTGTTTGATGCCACTGATATGAGTGCAGAATGTGAGGCCCAGGGACGGATCCAGGATTCTGAGTCAAGGGGGGCGAAATTTTTCGTTAGTGTAGGGGTGAATTTTTTTTCGTTAGTGTAGCGGGGTGAATATTTTTCCCCTAGTGTAGCGGGGCGAAATTTTTTCGCTACTGTGGGGCTATGCGGCTATTTTTATTCAAAAAGTGACATTAATATATGCACATCCCGAACGGCATTTAAATCTAATACATTTTAAGTTTAGACGATGACAAAGACATCAACCAATACATTTTTAATAACTTCTACATGGTTTAACCTCATAAATCGGTTATTGAATTGTAATTTTTGTCCACCAAGGAGGGTGTTCATGAGTCATGACTCATGAGAAGTTTTCTTAATATTACAATAGTACTATACTAGTATGTATGAGATTGTTATTTTTAGAATAATGTGCACCACATACACACACACATATATATGGCGCATATTATATTTTAATATTTTTTATTAATTCTATAATAATTTAAAGTTTATTATCCATGCAATAAATTATTTTCAGAAACCAAGAAGTAAATGAATTATGTAATCTAATGTCTATAAATATTTATATTTTGGATTCATTTCACGTGATATAAAAATTGTGTAATTAGTGTGTCTGGTATTTAATATTGTTTGATATATGTTTTACAAAATCCAGTACTTGTTATCTAATAAAGATAATTAAACATTACAAAACTAGGAATTCTTATATAATAAGTATCCTAAATCTTAAATAACGAGTTACTCTATTGTTTATTTGTTTAAGTTATGTAAATTGTTTTAAATGTTTATTCTTTCAAATCTCCAATTAAGTATTACATTATGTAAGACTATATACTAATTTTGAAAATTAAAAGCTAGGGGGCGAATCTAATTAAATTATGAAAGTTTTATGAAAATATTACATATATGGTAAAAAAAATTGAATGTCCAAGGGGGGCGGTCGCCCCCGCGCCCCCCCCCCCTAAATCCATCCCTGGGGAGGCCGGTTATACCCCGTTGTTGCCCAAGGTCATTAACCAATGTAATGAGACGATGTTGGGATGTGAATACAAAGAATCGTCCAGAGATGGACAGAGTGGTTTCCATGTTGGAAGCAATTGACACATCAAAGGGCGGTGGCATGATCCCTCTTCATCACCCTCAGTCTTGTTGCTTCTTTTGGACCTACCGTGGTCCTTGACATTTAAATGTATGTATACTAAGTACAATATGATAATGTTATTAAAAACAGATGGTGTTAATTAGTAGTAGAGCGAGTATGCACAATAAAGCCATAGAAGGATGGTCTACCACCCTACCACATACGTACTAGCTTATTATATATTTCATTCCATATTCATACATTCCCATTTTTAGAGGATTGGCCAAATCTCGGTCCACCAATAGCAATATTTAAAACATTCGAAGTTCTTTATAATACTAGTGTCAATTCTATTACGATTCTTTTTGTGAATCAGGACTATGTTAGCCTTTAGGGAAACTGTCAAATAGGTTCTCGAACTTTCATAAAAAGGTCAAATAAATAAGTCTTTATATAGGAGGCTCTGTCCGGCCGTCGCGATTTGGGGCGGTTCCCGGTGGAATTTTTGATGAAAATTTTTTAGCATCTTATTCATAACGTCTAGTTTACTCATACCAGATTTGAGCTAAAGCTTCAATCTGGAAGGCATTCAAATTAATTCTTGAAGATAACTGCACATTTAACTGCACAGTTATCTTCAAGAATCAATTTGAATGTCTTCCTGATTGAATTTTTAGCTGAAATATGGTATGAGTAAATTAGACTTGATGAATAAAATGCTCAAAAAATTTCAACAAAAAATTCCACCAGGAACCGCCCTAAATCGCGGACAGAGCCTCCTATATAAGGACTTATTTGACCTTTTTATGAAAGTTCGAAGACCTATTTGACAATTTTCCCTAGACTTTATTTGTAATCAACCTTCTCCTATGCATTTCCATGTAATCATGTTGTTAATCTAGAGGGCAGACCTAGGGGGGTCGTGTCGGTGCCCCTTCTCTAGTGAGTTTAAAGTATATACACACGTGTATATTTTTCAGCACCCCTAGAATATATTAAATATACAATGGTTGCAATGAATTGTACTGGCTGCAATGAATTGTGTTAGCAAATATACATTGTTCTGCTTTGTGTTAAAAAAAAAGCCACGCTCAGTCAACCCACATCTAGAAATCCATGATATCAAACGCTAAGTGGAGAGTGCACAAGAAAGCCTTTTTTATTATACAGAGGGTGGTTAAATGTAGTATTAACATAATGTCATTGTCTAAACTATTTTAAACATCAAAATGTAAAAACAAACAATGATCAAAAGAGGCAATACAACACATATGGAGGAAATCATCTGTTAAAGACAAATAGCTCAACTGCCAGTGCATAGATTTCCTTCGGATGAAAATAAAGTTATGTGAGTGAACTGTGATATTCTTTATTGGGTATGGAGATACTTTTAGGCATGCTTAACGCAATAGTTCTTGACTATAACCATCTGGGTTTTTAACAAGAAACCGAGCCTGTTGATTCCATAACTCGTAATGTAGTATACCTCGTATTTGTTTTTTTTATTCCTTTAAAGTTGGATTAAATTTTAGGGAGGGACGGAGAGACGAAAAGGAGGGAGGATAATGCATATAAGCATGGGCGGAGCTAGGGGAGGGCCATCCCTGGCCCTGGCCCAGCCCAAATTTTAAAAATGCTTGTATTTTTAGTGAAAACAATTCTATGTAAAAAAAATTCAAAAATATTCTTTGTACCAGCCCAGTGCGGCCCAGTGCCCTAGCTCCGCCCCTGCATATAAGCAACAACTGTTTAACACTTTAACTAAAGCGGGATATAGAAGGAAGTTCTTGACTAATGACCCAATGTTTCTAATAATACAGTCTTTTTCACATCAAGTTCGTAGAGTTACAAATAAGAGAAACATCTTTTCAATCTTAAAAAGACTAGGCCATCTTTGATTATATTAAAGTAACAAGAACTAATTCTCTGAAAGTGAGTATTTGTATATGTGTGCTCTTGTAATCATGTTCTAGATGTACATAAAGAATGTAGTGATACATTGGAGGGGTTGAATGAGTAGAGAGTTTGTTACATTCAATGATCATGGGTCAGCATGTCCAACAACTTCATCATCAGTATCGCTTTGACCACTAAGGTACTCCTCGCTGATCTCATCATCACTATCTTCTTTCTGAGTTCTGATGTTTTCCTTCTTTGCATGCCGCTCACAGTACTCTGTCCCAAGATTATAGCTAGTGAGATGTATTCATTAAAGCACTAGAAGCAAAATACACTATCTATAATTGGATTCAGTTGGAATTTTGTTGAACACATCTTCCCTCAATCTTTGTATTTTTGTTTGCCAATAGTTCTAATAATTGGGATTAGTAAATATGTCACTAAATATTAGGTCCTCTGGTTACATCCAGGCATAATCATGTCGTCCAGGTAGGGCATAATCATGTCGTCCAGGTAGGGCTGTTAACGAGCCGAGCCGAGCCCGGACACCTAAAGCTCGAGTTCGGCTCGATAAGGAATTAATGGTGTTCGGGTTCGAGCTCGAAGCTCGACGAGCTTTACAAATGAGGCTCGTGTTCGGCTCGATAGATGTTCGATGTTCGAACCGAGCGCTCGATAAGCTCGAGAAATTTGGTCGAATTTAAAATATTTTAGGTGATGCTCGTTAATAGGCTCGTGCTCGAATGATTCGACAAGTATTCGGTTCGCTAATAATCATATTTAAATTCATAAAATTACACTAATTATAATTAAATTTTGATTATATATAAATTATATTTATAATTTCAGGGTGTTCGATAGGCTCGAGTTCGAACCGAGCCGAATACTACTATGTTCGAGTTCGGCTCGATTAATTTTTCGAACTTAAAACTTAGCTCGGGTTCGAGTTCGAAAGCTCGTTAAGCTCGGCTCGTTCGGTTCGAAACCGAGCTCGAACCCGAATAGCTCGATAAAAGCTCGGTTCGTTAACAGCCCTACGTCCAGGCGTAGTCCTGGACTCATGCCAGGGGAGATTAAAATCTCAATAAATTCATTTTTAGAAGCTCAACTCAAAATAAGATTTTAGCAAGTAGAACCTTCTGAAAGTTTGAAATTCGAAGGACAATCGTTGACTCTCAAACTCGAAGGCCAATCGAGGACTCCTAAACACGAAGCACCGTTAGTCGCTACTTCTCTGTTGCATTCTTCTGTTGCAAGGTTGAAGACGACGTGCAGTTGTTCCATACCTCCATTGCAAGGTTGAAGACGATCCGTGCTTTTCTCCAGCTTTTTATTTTTATCGATTACGTCTATCAAACTTCTTATTCCATTATATTAATATATTTTACATGGAGTTAGGCACTCGCAGTAAGCAGTATACGCACTAAAGATTTATACATAGCTTAATTTTAATATGTAGTAATATACATTTATAATTCGTATACAATATTCAGTATGTATAGATACACACTATAGTACTGCGTATATATAAGTATGCGTATAACTTGTACACAATTTAATTAGTAATGTATCATATACAATACTTCCTCCGCTCTCAAATAGTTGCAACAATTTTCTTTTTTGGCAATATCAAAATAATTGCAACATTTCCTTTTTAAGTTATAAAAATAGTCACTAAGGCTAGAATACCCTTACATCCATCTGACATGCTTTTACTTAACCGAACCCACTACTCTATCCCAAATGAAGTATCTTCACCCACTTACCTATACTCTCATAGTCTACCTCTCCTCTTTCCATTCTTTTTCTTGATTTTGTATCCTCCTCTGTCACCTTCTCTTTCTCATCCATGGCAGTCAATTTTTGTTCTTTCATTTCTTTCTCCCTACCTTTTTTATATTTTCCACTACTTTTAATTTGTTTCAAACTTATGTACAATTTCACCTAATTCTCTTCTTTCATTTATTTCTTTCAACTATTTTGCTTTCCACTTCCTTTGCTTTCTTCTTACCATTGTAGAAAAACTAAAACACTTGAGATGCTAAAAAAATAGTTTTTTTAGAGAGGTACCTTCGATGAACACATATTGCAGACATAAATTGATAAATTAGCCATTCACTCATAAGAAAGAAGCAATAGGGTAGAGAAACTAATGAGAGAATTAAAAATAGAATCACAAAAATGAAATCACGGTAATATTTGGCCTAAATATTAAGATGTGTTATTGATAAGGTTTAAATAATAGAGAAGACGATTGAACTCAGCGATGGCTAAAAGAAAACGAAGCTCATGTCAGAATTTCGTCAGATTGAAGGTTACAATGTCAGAATCTATGTGCCCAGCGCAATGTTGCAATTAATTATGAACAGAGAGGAAGTCTTTAATAATTACAAATTAAATATAGTTAAATAGAATGGTATATGTAATAACATACGTAGTATATAATTGTACATAATATATTACACAATGTGCTACTAGTCGCCTATTTGTCACCTAGGCGGGTGCATTGTCGCCTAGGCGATAAGTTGGTCGGCTGGCACCTCGACTCGCCTTACCGCCACGACAAGTATGGTTCAAAATAATGGGATAACAATATAATGATATAAAAGACAAAAGTCACAAAACTAAATGTGAACATTTAAGAAACACCACTAACCTTTCACTTTTTGGTCATATTGCTTCTTATCCTTCAACATAAGTGATGCTGCATCACCATTTAAGGGATCTGATGGATTTGGGTAAAGCAAGAGTTGTGGCAGGAAAACCTCGAAGACATTTAAAAGATCTGGACCAGCATAAATACAACTCAAAAGCTCACGAAAAATTAATGTTTTAACATTGTCCTATAAACACTTTTAGCTCTACCAAAAAGCACCATATAAAGGCATTCATATAAACTTCTTTTGCATGTGTCATGAAAGCATCTCTAAATATTAAATACTTAGTCTCGTAAACACTTACCAAACATTGGACTCCACGACTGGTTGATGACATCCAAGCAGACAGAACCAGACCTTCAGCGAATAGACAAAATTTGATTACCATTCTAACTCATTTCACATAAGCAGATTTAATGAGAATGATTGATTGATAACAAAGGACATGTCAATACACCTTGAGGATTACCATGAGAAGCTACAAGCAACAATGTTCTAAAATCTTTACGGTATGTAAACTCACAGTTCATCAACATTTGGGTGGAATATTTTGTTTACAAATCCAATGGAAGGAGACTTGTAAGGATAAGCATCTGGAAGCTCCACACGGACTTTCCAGACTCCACCTTCATAAAGGCCTACAGAAAGGAAAACAAGAGTAAAAAGATCAGGGGGCGGAGCCAGGGAACTGAGCCAAACTGGACCGGTACACATAATATTTTCAAGGAAAAATTACACAGAATTTTTTACCTTAAAAATTAAAGATTTTTTTTAATTGGGGTGGCTCAGGGGCCTAGATTGGCCCTCCTAGATCCACCAATGAAAGATGTCATGATGTCATTACAGGAATTACCATAATGATTAATGATTCATTTTAAAAACACAAACGAAGAAGTACAAATGGTGAAAAAAATAGTCAAATGTACTACATTAAACATATGATGCCATCATCGTCAACATCTTAGTCTCAAGAACATCAGAGTAGGTAGAAATTTGTCGTAACATTTAGTGTCAAATGATTGTTACAAGTGACCAATGTAAGTTCATGCAAAAAGCTCGGTAAACATGTTTAACATGGGATGCCCTTCCGGTCACAACCTTATAAAGAAAGAATATATAAACACATGATATATTAACACACTTTTCAAAAGTAATCACATAGATAGCATATATGTTAACGAGCCATTTGTGCATAGCAGAGGACATGAAGACCATTACTTTCTTTTGGACCATGGAATTCAACAAAGAACTTGTTGATTTCATCATTTATTGGCTCCACAGTGTAATCGCTCATCATCCTATCACACATGCACGAAAAACACAATATTTCATAAGCAAAATAAGTCAAAGAAATATAATCATACGATGCATTAAAATAATGTTAGACACTTACAGTTTCATAACATCCATATCCCTTCTCTTACTTGGAGATGACATTTTGAAAATATCGTATTATGTGGAGCTACCAAATAAATTAAAAGATCAAAAGTTATAAAAGTGAATACAATATTGATGTAAAGATGTGACTATGGTAGTACAAGGCTTGATTATTCATAATTCCAAATAGGAATAAGGAGCAACCTTTTAGACCTAAACGGAAGACAAAGTACGATAAGGATGTCAAAACCTGCACCACATTAACCAACAACTATGTCAAAGGAACACTGAAGCTACTTTGTTTCTTTCATCCTAGTTTCTTGAGTTTGTGTGTGTGTGTGTGTGTGTGGAGGGATGATAGCATACACTAATACACAAACGTCATCTTTTATCTGAAGCAGCTATTGGCCTTTGGATTACAAATATAGTTATGTTCTTTACGAAACAAATATCTTGGATTCCTTGCACTCTTTGATTCATTGCAAAAGAGAAATTAGCAAAACTAACTTAACTACCAATGCAGTTTTTATTAATACTTCACTAAATAAGGGCCATTATGGAAAAATAAATTACATTTGCATTAGTATTCTAAAATGAGTTATGACTATGACTATTACTATACTATGCCTTATAATTAGGACCGGAGAAATAGCATAGACGCAATGATGCATAACCACTACTATTATTATTAATGATGGACAATGTAATTAAAAATAGTGTGCGCGCATGGCATATGTATGTCATGTTTATGCCACATGCCGCCTAGTTCAATAGCACTAGTTGTAGAGATACAATGACACTGTTCCCCGTATAGTATCATAGATGTTATGACTCATGATCTTGCATTCAGAGCTTCATTTTCTTTTCTCTTGTTACTCAAGGACCTCAAGGTACCATCTAAAACACCTTTCTTCTGCCATTATTGTTGTTGTTGTTGTTCTTTTGCAACAAATGGGACAAGTGAAAGATATGTGCAACATTATTGATAATTGAGATCTTAAGATTAAATTTCTATAGATGTTTCACATTTTTTAAAGGGAGGAAGCTAGTCAAGAAGATACAAAAATTATTGTGATATTTGGTACTATATGTTATTCCATAACTCAGATAACTCGAAACACAATTCACTGAATTGTCAAAATTGATTGAATCGGATAGTCAAAATGATCTCACACAAGCAGGTTGACTAAACACAAACTCATGATGAGGCCCAAAAAAATAGTGTGTGTGTGCGCGCGTGTTCAATAAAAGATACGAAGTATGTTGAAATACAAAGTCTTGGTCCCGTAGTGTTAATTTTATGAACTTTATCCACCCCACCCTCGATATCGATGTTCTACTCGAGGATGCCTTAGGTCCCATTTGGGATTACATTCACTGTGGGAAAACCTCATTTAGCCCTATTACAATCTAAAACAAACTACGATTTTTGAACAAAGTTGATTTGCAATGTGGAAAACAGTAGAACAATAGCCAGCCAACCAATATAACTTTTACATAACATTTCTCGACCTCCAAATACATATAGCTATACATTTTCACAGAGACTTACAATGCTACTTCTAAAATTGTTTATACAACAAGGAAACAAGAGGTCATTTGAAATGGAAACCTCATTCCAAAAGTAGGCGGTAGTCTCACAATCAGGCTCGTGCACAACAAGTACATTACATTCCCAAGAAAAACAAAAACCCAACCACAAAGATGTTTCATTTGGTAGAATTTTAGTTTCTAGAGAATAAATTGAGAAATATAAACGCACAATAAAAGCGCAAGAGAAGGGTAATAACAGACTGAGAGCGTCCGAACATGACGATATGATCTTAGTGTCCTAGTCGAGAGCCACACTATTTAAAGGAGAAGAAGGATAGAGGAACGGACCTGGAACACGAACAGTATGAGGGGATCGACGAAGATTGAGAGTTTATGCTTGAAGGTTTGAAAAATAAGAGAAAGAAAGAATAATAGCGTAATGGAAAAAAGGGAGGTTTGGAGAGATGATGGGGAGGAGTTGAGTGACGACATTGATTGTGTGGTGTGAGGGGTGGAATGTTTTGAGCCAATGGTTGGTTTTATAATCTCCTATAGTCTCTCCCCTTTTGAGTTTTTAAGGACCAAAATCTCGCAAAAATTTAGTATTTTTATGGCATGTAAGATTTGAACTTGGTGCACATCATTTCAGTATCCTCAAATACTCAATAAGCTCAATTTATTACATTGCGATCGTAGTTGTCATTTGTAGTGCGGAAAAATATCGATAATTCGATATATCTCATTTAGCATATTGAAAAATAACGAATTTATCAAAATGTTTGGTATACCGACACTTTCGGTACATTATGGTATCATACCGAATAACTTCATATGATATTAGTGTATATTTTGAAAATAAATGGTATACCAGTATATCATCATGCCGAAAATTCAAGCCAATAATAATTTCTCTAAAATTATAAAAATGACTAAAAACACAACATTAATTCAAGGATATATAATTGACTTTATATCCATGTTTTTTGAATTATTTATACTTCTTGTTGGATATCGGTGTCATGGTATTTATATCTATGTGGCTGAAATTATTTTAAGAGAATGTGTTATTACCTTAAAATTTTAAACATATTTATAATATTTTTTGTTCAAAATGAAATAGAACATCAATAGGTTACCATTAGTATTTTATAATGAATTTCATTAACGATTTTAGTATATCACTACAAACATTGATTTTCTATATTTCATTTGGCATACAATAATTTGTTATATTAAATCGTGATAATTTACTGATATCGCAATTTTACCGCACCGAAACTTCGGCATACCACAACTAGCTATACCGAAATTTCGCCAAGGTAACGGTAAGTAGTTTTGCATACCAAAAATTTATGGTATAGTAAAGTTATGAGATAAAATATCTGGTATATTGTACTCACTCACCCCTAATTATTATCATTAAAACATGGAAACTAGCATTTCTACACAAGTTGTACACAATTTGTATACAATATATAAGCTTTAATATTTACCATTCTTTTTTTTTGCTACTACTATTTTCAGTTTATATAAAGCGGTAGCATTTGGCAGCCAAACAGTCTGAACAGTATAATAAAACATTGACTATCAATGTTTTTTAGGAATGCAAGTCCGATTTACTCAAATTAGATTTGTCATTCTTATTCTCCCATTTTTTATTCTCTCCTCCCTCTCTCTCCCTTCTCTCATCCCTCTGTACCTAGCCCATTCGGATATCCAACAAAGATTGGATCATTTTCTTCTATTCTTCATCCTCATCTTCCCTTCTTTGTCATCTTTTGTGTATTTTTAGAAGGCTGAAAAGCCCTCTAAAATTCGTGCTAGGCACTCTCTCTAAGACCCCCCTCTGAAAACGGGGGTTTCCAGGCTGTTTAAATAAAAAAAAAAATCGGGTGAAATTTGAGCTGAATTGGGATTTCCGGAGGCAGGCACGGTGTCAGGCACGATCGTGCCTTCGATCGTGCCTCCGGAGCAAAAACGCGCATTTTGGGCAGGCACGATCGTGCCTCCCTCCAGGCACGATCGTGCCTGGATGGCAGTAACTCTGCGGTGCTTTTCTCTTCACGCACGATCGTGCCTGACTTTGAGGGCACGATTGTGCCTACTAAACTTCCGAATTTGGCAATGCTTCCTTCATTAAAGTTGTATATAATGAAGTCCTCTATCCACCCCAAATTGTCGAATGTGATTTGAATCATCCAATCAAGAGATATTATCAAAACGGTGGAAGGTATCATTCTGAAATCGCAGCATAGATCATCTGACTTCATCGTCTGTTTTCACCTTCTTCCTCTCAGATTCTCGCAAAGGTGTCTTCATATGATTTGTAGCCCTTTAAGTTAGATTTCATATAGAACTTGAATCGTGCACATTGGATGTTTCTACAAAGGCATATGCTTGAACGATTAACAGAAGGTCATCCAGATCGCCGATTTCAAGCTCCATTCATCTTCTTTTGATCTCGTAGCCAATCCTAGAGTTCTTTTGTCATCAAATCTTCATCGTAAACCTCCCGCTGACCTCCAAAGATCTTAAATCAATCTCGAATGCTTCTAGAATCGTCCCGATTTCTCCTCAAGCGCCGGTGCCGAACTCTAAATTCCTGGTTTTGACTCCAAATGACACAAAACTCGAACCAACGCCTGGTAAACATAACTTGAGCTATAATTGAGACTTGCAACACTTTAAATCTAGGAAAACCATCAAAAGCCGATCCCAACACGCATCAAATGCGTGTCTAAATACGGACTTATCAAGTCTCGATTAAAGAAACCAATGATACGACGTATATTTTCTCTTTCTATCATGAAACTGATATGAAGTGTGTTATTGGATATGGCTTGTGGCTTTATGATGAGCACCTTGTAGTATTGCATGAATTAAAAGCTGATGATTTGCCTTTGAAAGTTCCTTTATATAATTCGGAATTCTGAATTCAAGTGTATAATATGTTGGTGGTTACTTGACCTTAAAGGTGGCAAATATATTGGAAAAAATCTAGGAAGGTTTGTTAGGCTAGATGAAAATCAGTTTGAGGGGCGTTGGAAAAATGAAGGTCCAAAAAGTGAATAAAGACTACTTATGGGTAGATTTCAGGAATGAAAATGTACTCAATTTTTTCTTTGCTTGTGAAATTATTGACCATGTAGATATGTTATGTTTTCATGTTCTCGAACAGCCGTGGACGAGAGCAAATTGCGGGCACATTAGTGATGGTAGAGCTAATAATTAGTGGCTGATTTTAGAGAAAGGGGATAAACAATGTTGCTCATATGGAAGCCACCACGATGGCGAGAGCTTCTGTGAATAGGGGTGTTGATTCTAATATCATTACAGGTGCGGCTTGAAACATTGGGAATATTATTACACTTGCACATCAAGTATTTAAGTATCCCGGGAGTCTGTCATCCAGAGCTCGTCCCAACTTCGTTTTTCCTTCATCAGTATTCTAATTGGTCTAAATGGGCAAAGTATATATATAGTAATACTTCGTATAACCCATATTTTGTCAAGAGTCGGTGTAGTTTATGCCTTTATGGAATTGGACTCCTTTCTTCTTGTAACTTTTTAAGAATACATACCCAAGCACTTTCGCACAGTAGTTGGTAAACCAATGCTTTCAGCTTGTGTGGTCCAAGTTTTTTCATGTAAGTATGTAACTGGCTCTCTTTTTTTAAACCATGATGGAGATTGAAGGATGCAAAGTAGATTAACCAGATCGTGTACAAAACTACTTCCCCCAAACGTGTTTTGTTCCCCCATAAGAGTGCTAAGAATATATAGAGTTGACTCGTCAATGAAGCTGATGATAATAAATGGAATCATTCTTGGTGTACACCATTTGATGTATAGAGAAGACTCGGTACTTGAAATTTTCAATTGACACACAAAAGGGATTAGTTGATATTAGGAAAGCTAGAAACAGTTTAAGTATTGATGCACAGAAGACACAAACCAAAACATCTATCTCAGTATTGACACACCAAAATAAGAGCACTGATCTGTATCACTGTATGATCATATGAAAATCTTAAAAAGTGAACAAAAAAAGAAAGAATAGAAGCTGAGACTCTGTGAGACACAGAACTTCTTTCTATTACTAAAAAGACATGTTTGACTTGGGAAAATCACTCATCACTCATAGTAGTAAATGTGTAGTTCAATCATTAGTTTACCCCTTAAACTTTTTGTTAAAACTGAACACATTCTTAAACTACAGGGAAAAAAGGACTGTACAAAAAAAAGCTTTTGTTATAACAAGCCAATTACTAACTGGAATACAAAAGCAACCTAAGTACCAATTAAGCAACCCAAAAAGAACCATATAAATATGGAAATGTATCTTATCAAGTATGATACTAACAACACATGCCTACTCAGCTGGCAGCAATGCCAAAGGGCAAGCATACTCATTCTGGAAGCATGATCTCATGCCAAGCCTATTACAGATCTTCACCATCCTTAAAGCTCAAATTCAATGTTTGCAACTTGAAGCCTGAACCTTGTATAGTCTCAACTAAACTTGAAGCCACCCCTGTAGCTTGTATTACTGTTTGCTTTGTCAACTGCAAAAAGAATTTTTTAAAATGTTAACCATGGAAGAGCAAGCATTCAATTGATGGAGGCGGCCTACATAGGCTAACAGATATACTGGATGTAACCCTGTTGTAGAAACTACAAAGTAGCAAAAGTCACCTCCACACTTGCCATGCTCTCGGCAACTTGAACTTTGAGATCTGATATACCTTCTATTTCCTGCAGATATTTGAAGACATAAAAGATAATAATGTGAGGTCCCTTAACTGTTAGGTTATTGACAATTGCTTTTATTGTACTATGTTATTATTTTTTTAAAATCAGAATTGTGGACAGTCTTTTAAGATACACCAGTAGGTAGTTAGGTACAAGGAGGGTAAAGGTGAAGTGCGCACTTTTTAGGGGACGCAGTCCCAATTCCCAAAAAATAGTTTAACTTAATCAGTTGGACAGTGAAAAAGATAGCAATGGTGTTGATTGTGCTCATGCCCTCTGACGATATTTCAAAGCCAAAACCACAAATGGTAAAGGCGGATGAAGCTTCGGTTATTGGCGGTTCGGCCCATACTGCGGTTGAGACGGCATCTGGATATGGTTCCGATGGTTATGCGACTGGCCGACTGCTAGCGAAACCGAACTGAATGAACCGATGAAACAGAAAGGAAGAGGAGAAAAATTGCAGTGACAGTTATATACAGGAAGACAAAGAAAAAAAGGAAATATGAGCTCTGCAACATCAACGCAGTCTTCTTCGTGTGAAAGTAGAGAGGCTCCTATACAGGAAATGGAATCCGACATGAACAACTTATCGAGGATGCACTGACTCTGGCCACTGATCTGAAGCTTGAAGAAAATTCATTGTTTAAGGATGGGCTTCACGAAGAGGCATTATCCAAGTATGAGCTAGCTTTGC